ATGATTTTGGACCGCGCCTTTCGCCACCAAGAGCGTGTAGACGTTCGCCGTTCACTGGAAGATTCCTGGGCAGCAAGTGTGTGTCGGAAAAAAGATCAAGAACATGATGAACGCCGCCGTGCACAGAGTCCTGGCATGCTAATACACGAACAGTGCGATAAATATCACCGGTGCAAACAGTGTGGCAGGCGACCCCAGAACTGCGGTGAATCGAACGTGTGGAGCGAATCACGATACATACCTGGATCAAGGCTCATAGTTTAGAGCGCCTCTAGATGAATTTCTTGAACAATTTTCACTGATTAAACTACAGACTGGAAAACACGAAAACAAATACGAACACTTCGCCTTAGCCTTGCTGGAAATGTGTGGAATTATTTATTTATTATTGTAATATTATTTGTACAATTGTGAAGATACGATTGTGACGAAAAGATCGGACTCAAATCTTTTGAATTGAAGGCGAAGAAAAGACAGGACGATTACTTGCGCTTACAGATCAAAATTCCTTCTATCTTGATCGTTTTTAATTTCTTTTTGTCTAAAATGTTTTTTTTAGAGGGAGCACGTGTGATGTACATTTTAATATCTCTACTGTTTTATACAATGAAAACTTTATAAAGAGGTAACTTGTCGATGTCAGAGTGAATGTTAGCACAACAGTTTCCAAGGCACTAGCACGCTCCACTTCCAGATAGCCCCGACGACATAGTATTATCTCGAATAACTCGTGGATCAAGAAAAGTCACACAAGTACTATTCTAGTTTAATTCTTCAGTAACGTACTTCACACCGTGTGATGGCAAGCATGTTCAGCTTATTAGCTCTGCTTGGATACAATTTTGAATACTGTTAATAAAACAATCATTGATTAACTCTTGTTGTTAGAGTAGTGATTCCAATAGAAAAAATAGAATATGGTTGATAATGCCTTGTTTGAATTGGTCGGTGGACGTTTTCGTTGGTTTAAAAGCAATTGCAATCGTCGCGGAGTATTAAAGAATATCGAAGGCATTTTGTTTAACTTGCAATGATGCGTCCCAAATTTGCGCGTGTAATCTTTTAAAAAGGTCGTAGACATTCCTATTTTGGCTAATGCTTTGACCTCAACGGGCGTTCGCTGCGGGTTTTTTCTTTTCTTTACGACTCATTCTCTCGAGAGGCACTCTTGGAGTTGGATAAATTTATTATTTTTTGTGATTGGTAACCTTTTTCTTGCGTTGTGAGAAGAGTTACCACGGTACTTAACCTGTTAACTCCTAGAAGTGATGAACATGTAACTTCTCCTTATAATATGCACACATTATCCAGCAAACAGGTAATGAGAATCTGTACTCAAACTTTTCTGGTAGAAGTTGTCATTTTGATCAATTTTGAGTCCTCGTAACTCATTTACGAGGAAATGTGTAATAGCTGGAGAGAAGAATTAACAATCAGATCTTGGGAGTTGAGAGTGAAGGATTGGTAGACACTCCATGGATTAACCCGGTACAGCCTGATGCGTTGAATAAAGAGACCACTTTCAATAAACAGAAACATTTTCTTTGATTTCTTAGACTCTCCATGAATGACTAGACGTCACCAGATGTTGCGAATGCTACTGATGTTGGTTGTCCTATTCTCTTGGAACAAGGCAATTTGTCTCCTAGCCAGCTCAGATATTTCCACTCAGATCAAATAACTGAACTCGCTTTTAATTCAAATCGGCTATGGTAATGTTCTTAGTTCTTCCACTTACTGCTATGCTGCCCGGCCTGTCAAATTCTTCCCGTCCTTTCCCACATGGTCCAAATGAATGAAGAGCTTTGTACTAATGACCAGTCAGCTTGTCATTTACCCCGGAAGCTATGTTACGTAAGCCTACGTTCTTCGGCTTGTAACGCACTGTATTGTTTCATTTTTACAATCTTTCATTTTCGTTTCTCCATCTTCACTCGCTGAAGAACAGACCTTCACGGTCACTTTGTCTTGTTCATTATACAACTGATTTCTCTCTGAATCTCGTGTACTGATTGGCAAGTCGGTTTCAGCGCTAATTTCCGAGGGGAAATAGATTTAATTTCGAAATAGCAGGAGAATAACCTCGATAAGATTTGAGAGAAGAGTTTTGGCGATCATTTTCTTTGACAGCTCGGTTGTACTTTATTCGATGTTGTAATTTCCAGTGGTAGTAGACAGAAATTCTAACGTTGACTTTAGAACATTTGCTGAGCAGAAAAAAAAGCCCTTCATTTTGTCTTTCGTGGAAAATGGTGGAGAGTACCGTGTTCAGACTACAGACCACGCAAACCCTGCAGACCGTGCAGACGGTTCAGACTCTGCAATTTTCTTGTTTGCTTTTTACTAACTCAGATTTGCATATGATTCAGGTGTAAGTATCTTTTTCTTACTCTTTTGGTAACGTTGGAACGGTTTCCATTTTTTGGACACCACATGACTTAATTTTACGAGGATATTTCGAACTCATGTTACTTTGCAACAGTTTGGACGAGATCGCAGGCTCAACTTTATCGAACACGTGGAGATAAGCTTCACATGGCAAAAGATGGAGATCGACGAGGGCAGGTTCTATTTAAATTTGCCCTTTTTTTGAAATGAATTTTAGTTTTTGTCACATACTTGTGTTAACTCTTTCTTTATTTTTATTTGGACAGTGAGACTGGTTTAGAGGTAAGGAATGGACTGTGGACGAAGCAAATAATTACCATGCAGGATCTACTCAAGACAACCCAAATAACTTTACAGTAAAGAAAGTGCTGCAAGCTTAAATCGAACCATACCAGGAAATAAAAAGGGTTTTATTTAATCTGAAAGACAAAGTGGGGAGGGGTCAGGAACAAAAAGCGAACTGGTCAGCGAAATTACTCAACACTATATGTACCTTACGTCCATTTGTCAGACCTAAGAAAGAAATACGTCATCACATGACCTGTTCGTCTCATCCTGGGAAATAGTTTCCTTCTTTATACCGACCAAAAGACAGAAAGATATCTTGTGGCAATATATAATTTCTTTTTAGGGTCCCCGAAAATGATTTCCAAATTATGTTTTACCTGATATTAAGTGAGTACTCTAGAGATACGTGTGCAAAGATGAAAATATCAAGGACGCCCCATCAAAACTATATTCGCATTGTGTTCATGCACTTGCGCCCCACATTTTTCGAAAGGACGGTGCTATTAAGATATGGAAGCTCCTCAAAGTAAGCGAGAATGATAAATGAAAATATATATAAAATCATACGTGTACCGGATTGAAGGTTAAGTAACAAATAATTCCCCAGTCTTCACGGTCTGCAATTTGCAGTCTGCGTTTGAGCATGATCGGATTTTAGTGAAACTTATGAAAGTGTGTGCTTTAGGACAATTCATATCTATGCCTCTTTGAAAGAGATCTAATTTTTGCGTCAAAATGAATATTTTTTAGATGCTTTGTTTCATAGCGAAAAGGAGATGTAAAATGTTTTTTAAGTCTCAGCACAGCGGCCAACATTACAAGTCTCTGTTGCTTAAACTAACAAATGAAGTTCTATTAATGCTTCGTCTAGTGAAGAGTGACCACAAAGTAACAGAAATGAATGTATAGGAAATACGTCCTCAGTTGCAAAATGTTGGATACTTGGCGCGTAACATTGTACTAATGCACACTCTCGATAGCTTCTTTAAAAAGTTTCCAAATCGCTTCGTTTGACGAGCCCCTGCAAATGAGGTCGTCCGCCATTATGCTAACATTCCTCGTTTATATCCGCTTATCGACCATTTCTTTGTATGCTTCATTTCCTTTATTCTTGACCGGAAACGCTCGATTGCATTCTCAGTCAGACAAAGTTCCTCACCCTCCCCCCCAAACCCGTATTTGAAAACTCTCCATACCGACTATTTATACAATTATAATTTGGATATTCCAGATGGTCGACTGGTAATCGTGGGCGCGCAACGAGTGCAGGAGAGGTCATCGAGGTCGCGGGTTCGAATCACGCTATAGGAGTTATTCTTAATCTGGCTTGGGGGCCGAATAACTTCTCCCCGAGTATGATTTGGAGCTGGCGAACAAGGAGTAACTCTCAAACTGGCTTGGGGGCCGAGTAACTCCTCCCCGTGGAATTTGCTTTTTGTTTTGCTGTCTTGTCTTTTTTTCATATTATTATTGTCATCTTTACCTTCTTTTTCCTTTTTTTTCTGAGCAGTTCTCTCTTTAGGCCACTGTGATATTTTTTCTAATATGGTTTTGGTTGGTGTCGGTTGCTTTTTTCATTGGATTTTTTTCGAAATTAGATATAATATTTCTCTCTTTTTACGTTATTATTAAAATTGTCGTAATTAGTTATTTTTTTATCTTTTTACAATTTTCCATATCTGACTTATGCATGTTGAGTGACAGTTGCATGGTAATTCAAATCGTCACGGTCGCCCGTAAGTAACTGAGGTTGAACACAGATAGTTTGTGTCTAAAAGTTTTCTTACTTTATTTCAATTTTTTCATCTTCTTTTTTTTCCGTCGTTCTGCGCAGTTATCTTTTTTAGCCATCGTGCTCTGTTAGTTCTGAGGAGGACTACTGAATTAATTAACATGGCAAGATGTGTCCACGATTCCAAATGACTGACTCGGAAATGAAATAAATTTTCCGATCTCTTCAATCTTTATTGATTAAAATTTGTTGTAAGGAACACCACAGAAATTGGATAGCGAAAAAGTGAAAATATCACGTCAAAGCTTCTTAAATAAGACGTCCGATTGGTCTAATTCGGAAGATTCCGTCTGATTTGGGACGGTCATTTGAATTTCTAGATGGTTTCATTGGATATGGGTGCATGATAGATTAGGGAGGACTCAATAGAGCTTTGAAGGTAGTTTTCGAGCGGTTCTCCATCACTCCTTTTTGCTATGTAGTTAGGGGTCATGTAGCCTTAGTCGCCGAGCGAAACTGAATAAAGAAGGGGTGGCTCCTAAGTTTTCCTGGAAAGTATGTGTAGTCTTACACAACATATTTAACCTTACCAGCTCACGTGTAGTGAACGATTGAAAACAAAATGGTTCTAACGAAAGCCTACCTCAGATATGTACAATCTGCCTGTTTTGGCGTTGTTTCCAGCTTGAAAGCGAAAGTTGTGTTTATTAAGAGAAGAATTAACACGACAAGAAAGCAGATCGCTCTATACGCGGTTTGTCCGGCGTTGGAGAACGTTATAATTTGGGATGTTAGAAGAGGAGAAAAGGTAACAGCGAGTTTATCTTTATTTGGGTGGTAGGGTACATTTTATGTTATATTAATCGGAGGAAAAAGAGATTAAGTACCTAGATTATAAAGAACTGTTCAGAGTGTGTGTTGTGGTGTTTATGATTAGACTCTTCACTCTTCGAATTCTGTAACTTGAGTGAAAACTGTAATATTTGGGACACTCCGAGGACTACAAGCACATCTTCACTGAGTGATTTCACTCAGAAACTACTACTTAAATTTCCCGTCCGCACTGGAAATCAGATGAAGTGAGATCTGATCACACTACAGCAGTCACTTTCGATAGGAACACATGAATGCATCTTTCATCATGCGCATTTCAGGGGTCTGTTTTAATCCAGCTAAAAGTACCATAAGCAGAAACATCAGCATTTTTAAAAAACCCTTGATGACAATGAACCAGTTTAACGACACTTAACTATTGGCTGTTGCTATTGTGCTGTATTGTCGATCACAACACAAGCAGCATTTACCAATCGCCACTCTGGAGTATACATCATGTTAATTTGTGCTGGGATGGCAACCTGGATAGGAGCTAGAGGGAATGTCTTGAACCCAGACCTCTTGACCCAAAGTATACCCTATCAACCTTTAGGACACTGTGTCTTCTTGATATAAGTGTAGTAATGATTTACATATTACTGTCAAGGTTTCTGTGCTTGCTGGGGACAAACATGAAGTCACAGCTCTACAAGTTAGTCCTGATCAACAAGTTTTAGCTGTTGGGTAAGAGATACTCCTTATTAATAATATCTGGCATAGAACTGTAGATATAAGTATTAACCTTTTAGCCCTTACAAGTGACTAGCATCTAAGTTCTCCTCACAATATCACCCCTGAATCATGCAGTAAGGTCACGAGAATAAAGAAAATTATCAGCAGCAAAAGAAGCTGTTGATTGTTACACAAGTTCTCCTTGTCTGCACCTCAAGAAATGTATAGAGAACAGTATGGAGAATACCTTTACTGATGTTAGGGTTTCAAGGGTGAAACTGATGACAATTTCTATACACATTGCTCTTCACAAAAATGTGTTACTACCATTGAATTTCAACTTCCGAATTCACAGCTATGAAGATGGATCAGTCAGGCTGTGGAAGTTACAAGATAATACTTGTCAAGTAACATTCAGGTAACAATAACTCAGCAATTGTTGATGATAAAAGAAATCTCTCGTGCAGGGAAGTTTTCAGTATAGAATTCCATTTAAGACAATCATCCTTTCTCTTGAGTAGCAAACTTTTTGAGGGGGCATCTTTCCAAACTCTGAAAATTTTTCCAAGACTGGAGTCATGATTTTGAGAATTGCTCATCCACTTCCTACAAGAGACTGAGACACGTCTAATATATCAATTCAGTTGGTTGCTTATAGAAGTTTAAATTTTATATTGAATGCAGTTGACCAGTGGATTGAACTTGGAAGTAAATATCAATTATTTGTGCTCATACAAATGAGGCTGAAAGTCTTTTCAAGCCTATCCTCAAGTGAACTGTCATTCTTTATCATCAACTGTATATGTACAGGACAACATTGTTTCTAACAGTTTCCATATTAGTCTTTAACCAATTTGCTCCCAAAATCTGATAGTTAATTCTCCTGTCTAGCTGCTACACATTTCCTTGTGAATTAGTTTCGAGAACTTGGTGTTATACAACTGTAGATCAAGATAACAACTTCTGCCCAATAAGTTTGAGTTTCCTCATTACCTGTTTGCTGGATAATGCATGGATGTTTTAGGGAGAAGTAACATTTTTATCAATTCTAGGAGTTAAATGATCAATTGGTCCTTTTTCCAAAAAAAACAGTGGTCACAAGTCAGCTGTGTCTGCACTGAAGTTTGATGATGCAGGAGGAAGACTCGTCTCAGGATCAAGGGTAAATTGTATCTGCTGTGTATTTCTCCTTACAATATCATTTGTGACTTACCCAGTGAGGTCATGAAAATTAAGGATATGATCACCAACTAAAGAAGCTCTTGATTGTTAAACAAATTCTCCTTGTTAGCATCTTAGGAAATGTAGAGAGAACAGTGTAGAGGAAATGCATAATGATAATAGGGTGTCAAGGGTTAATTTGACATACCAGGAATGGGTGCTTTTCATTTATTTCATCCACTTAAATTTGTTACCCCTTTGTTTGGAGTTTTATGAAGTTTTGGAGTTTTTATTCAGCCAGTTGTTGTGATTCATTTGACAAGTTTAATACATACATTTCTATGCAGTATGAACTCTGGCCTCTCTCTTTTAATTAGATTTTTTATACCTAGCAGCACCCACCACAACAAGTGTCACAAGTGAGCCAAGGGAAGGCATCACTTATCATAGATTCCTCAGTCTGTAACTCAGAGGTTGGGCATGCATAGGGATGGGGTTTTATCTCTTGTGAGGGGCTAAGATTTTTTTTGTTGTCCTACGTTCTTGACAAAATCAGTGACATTTTTCTTCATTTATTGGCCAAGCTCAAAATTTATTCCCTCTTTCTATTTTATTTGAGAAGTCTGGGGCTCTTAAGTTACCCTGCATAAATTTTGCTCTTACTGGTACACCAATGTTTTTTTTTAATTGTCATTTTTCCCTTGTGTATGCAGGACACAGATGTCATAGTTTGGGATACTGTCAATGAAGCTGGTCTTTACCGGTAAAGATTTCATTACAGATGTCATTAATGCTGATTTTACAGTTTGGTTTTGATTGAGCCTTTGAGTGAAATCTAAACTGGTACAGATAAGTGATGAAAGCTTTTGGAACAGATTGAATTATTCTGTAAATTCAGTGAAATGAAGTGAGAACCAAATTAATACAATTTTGTTAGATTTTTGTTAATATAGATCTTAGAATATCATGAATGATACCTAACTGTCTGTAATTCTTGGTTATTGATGCTAATTTTTTCTTGTTCATCATCAGTTTCAAGGGACACAAAGGACTAATAACAGAATGTTATTTCATGAAAAGTCAGAATGTTCTGGTAACAAGGTAAGTCAACAGTTCATTGAAGGTTACATTTAATAAAACAATAGATCATCACTAGAGTCAAAAGAAGTAGATAATAAAGTTTGCAAATGAAGGAGGTAAGTCTCTAAAGAAACTGTGGTATTGAGTTGGTGGGAGAGTATAAGGGTAATTTAGCATTATCAACTGAGTTAATAATGTAAATTGGCCACTGTAAAGAGTTTAAAAGTTGACATTTCAAGTGGTAACCCTTTGTTGTTGTTTGTGCCCAATTTTGATGACTTGAATTTAGTGATTTGTCTCATCTGAACCTTTCCTCTCAAGTGGGTGGTTCAGGTTTGCGATATCCTTGGGGAGCATAAAGTTTGCACACAAACCCATAGAGCGCATCTTTGTCTCCATGGGCTGAAGCCACCAGTTGTATTTCTGAACCAGTTTCTCTTTCTTGATGGGATGTGAGCCCTTTTCAGGCCCCTATCCAGATTTTCTAGACAGTATATCCTCCTGGGAGAAAATAAACAGTGTGCACCCCTTGAGCTAAGAAAATGCAACCCTGGTCAGAGTGAATGGGTGAATTTACAATTACAACACCACAACTCTTTGGCATCCTTCATTTATATTAAAATTATACTATTTTCAATAACTTTCACAACAGAACTTGTTTAAATTGTTTCTTCTCTATATAAGTGGTTAGTTATTATAAATAGATTGATTCTCTTGTTTTACTTTTGTTAGTTCCAAAGATAGTTTTGTAAAGTTTTGGGATCTTGACACACAGCACTGTTTTCTTACACTTGTTGGTCACCGGAGTGAGGTGAGTAATATTAGTCTGAATATTTCTGAATTAAGTGGTAAGAGGTTATTCACAATGTAATTTGAATGTTTTTCATTTTTCCATGAACTCCATCATTCAAGTCATCCAGTCAGGCAGCCTGTCAGTTTACCCATCTGTCTGTCTGTTAGTCAGTCTGTCTGTCCACCTGTCTGTCTGCCTCCTGACAATCATTGAGTCAATCCATCAGCTTGTCTGTCTTTCTGTCTGACAGTCCTGCCAGCTTGGAAGTCATCCAGTCAGGCACCTTGTCAGTCTACCCATCTGTCTGTCTGTCAGTTAGTCTGTCTGTCCATCTGTTGGTCTGTCTGCCCGTCCACCTTCCTGTTTGTCTACCTTTCTATCTGTCCAACTGTCTGTCTGTCTGTCTCCTGTCAGTCATTGAGTCAATACATTGGCTTGTCTGTCTTTCTATCTGACAGTCCTCTGCCAGCTGAAAGTCATCCAGTCAGGCAGCCTGATGGTCAGTCAGTCCGTCCATCTTTCTGTCTGTCCATCTATTTTTCTGTTTGTACTTGTCTTCTGTCAGTTTGGCGCTCATTCACTCAATCAAATCCTGTTTGTGGAACATTGAAATATATGTTCTGTTTGTTAGAAGTCAGATCTAAGAGAAATTTTCCATTTATTTTAAAACCCTTTGAACCATTCCAAACTGTGAGGATACTTTTTATAGTGATTAGATATTTAGAGTTGCATGGTTGTCTTCTACTTGTAGGTATGGGGTTTCACAGTTGCCCATGATGAAACAAGATTAATAACTGGGTGTGCAGACAGTGAACTTAGAGTCTGGAAAATTAACAGCAACAGTGAGAGTGACACAGAGCAGCTGAGTGAAAGTAATAAGAAGAATGGAGGTAAAAGAAATGCTGACGAGGCAGGATTAGATGAAGAATCAGATGAGAAACCAACTGAGGTAATTTCCTACAACGATGAATAAAAAAGGATTTTTAGGAAACAACTCAGTTTAAAGATCTAGTCATCAAATTTCTAAACCCTTTAACTCCCAAGATCTGATTGTAGCTCTCCCATCTAGCTGTCACTCATTTCCTTGTAATTTAGTTACAAGAATTCACTGTTAAATCATAATAACAACATCTGACTGATAAGTTTAAGTTTGAGTTCTGCCTATTCATGTGGTTTTTCAAGAATTAAGATTTTTTTTGTTTTTGAAGAAAGCATGGATGACTTGTGGTGTTATGACACTTTTTAACTAGAAAGCAATTTATGAAATTCCACACCTGTCAGCTGCACTTTTCACTGAAGTTCTGCTTTGTTTAAAATAGCTATACTAATAAGTTTTTTTCTCCTGCCAGGGAACTCAGCTTTCTTGTACACTGATTGGCTCAATTTTCCGTCATAGCCATGAAAGAGTGGTGTCAATTATGTCTGACTCAACACAAACATTCCTTGGGTGCCTTGTAAGTGCAAAATATACCTGCTAAATTTGTTCACTGACATTTGATTGTAGGTTCAAAGTTTATCCTAAATTTTGCAAAGATACGAGCTTTGAAATTTACTAAAAAATGTTCTTTCTCCATCTATGCACATGGTATGTTCAACATACATGTATGTTCAGGGCGTGAAATTGTGCCCAATACAGGTGCCAATGCGACTAAATTTTTCTTTTTGGCAACCAAATCCTGAAAATTAGTCGCCAAATTGGCAACTAGAATGCTTCATCATAACCTTACTTAGAGATAAAGTGAATTAAATTGGACATCCTAATGTCCAATTTGTAGCATGTTAAAGATCTTTTTCCTAACTTAATTTTGGAGGGTCTATCTAGAACGCTAACAGCATTAAAAAAGGTTTTATTTGTCTTTAAAAATGGCAACCAACTTTTTTTGAATTGGCTACCACTTTGAAAAATTTAGGAGCCAAGTGGCTACCAGAAAAAAAAATTAATTTCACGCACTGATGTTGATCCTTGCAGTAAGCAGGATGCTTGTCACACAGGAACCTAGTGTATGGCCTAAGTCACCATGGAGTTCCTGGTGGCTCAGTGGTAAAGTGTCAGACTGCTGAAGGCCTGGGCCAGGTTGTTTCAAGGGTAGATAATGCTACCTACTGGATGAATTAATGAACACTTCCCTACTGGATAATGATATATCCATCTGATAGTGTTATGCACCCTTTTAATGACTGCACCCTGATATTCAAATTGCCATGAAAGTCTTGGATCTTTCCTTTGTCATGTAAGTATTTTGAAACTAATGACATCTTTCTTAATTGGAAGGTATCAAAAAGGAAACTTAGCTGCTCTGTTTCACTACTAACAGAAAAACATTGTTTGTTTGTTTTAAAGGGCAATGATTCACAGTTGGAATTGTTTAAAACGTTAAATGATGAAGAAATACAGAAACACCTACAAAAGAAACTTAAGAGACAAAGGTCTGTTAAAAAAAAGATGAGATAATTTTGTTGCCTTCTTTTGATTTTAACTTTTATTTAAGATATTAAAAAAAAATTGTTTCTTTTTCTTCATCTAGAAAGAAAGCAAGAAAAGAAAATGAGGACCAGGTTAGTGAATCGTTCAAGCTTCTTTGCATTTTCTGTAAGTGATACAAAAAGTATATAACACAATGGAAAATGTTTGGTATGCACTGTAATATGATACCTTTAATTATCTACACTAATCTTACTAGTCTTTAATATTTCTAACAGATTTGTTTTGATACTTAATCTCCTCTAGAAATCAGAAACAGACATTGAAGTCACAAGAACTGTGGAGGATGAACTTCAAAGAATACATTCCCTAAAACTTCGTTCAAAGATCAAGTAAGAAAATATATTTTACTCTAACATGTACGTCAACTTGTAGAAAAATCAAGTGTATTTTTTTGCATTTACTGAGGAGAATTTTCAAGGTTGACAAGATTTCTTGATTATTTGTACATTATCATGGAACCACAAGCATGCTTTGGAAGTGAAGTGGTTGATAATCAAAGAGATATGCATTTCCAAGTAACCTGAAGCTAGGAACGACCATGTTATAATGGCTAATACACCATGGTGGCTAAGCCAATCAAAATCCTAGATTTTCCTTGTATATCAATACCATCTCAACTTGATACATGTATTTGCTACTAACTTGTTATTACAGATCCTTTGACTTGTTTCATGATGAAAATGCCAATGATTTAAAGGTATTTCTGTTTTAGTTCTCATTTCATATTTTGTAACTATTTGGAAGATTTCAATTTTAAATGTAAGCTACATACAGCACAACTGTACATAATCTTGCAGTTTGTTTATCATAAGGCCCATTTATCATCTGTCGGTTTTGTTTTGATTCCCTTGCAGATCATATTATTGCTTCAAAATAATACAATCCAGTTGCATTCAGTTACTTTGAAACCAGTGGAATCCTCTTGTGTATCATCAGTCACACTTCCTGGTCACAGATCAGATATCAGGTTAGTATCACTGTGTTTCCAATATCAGGATGGTATTACTTGGCACACAAAGGTGCCACTAAAGTTTGCTCTGCTTCAGACATTTGGCTTCATAGCCCACAGTGTAGCTGGCAGTATCAGCCAATTGGTCCTACAGGGTGCAGATGTTAAGGAATAAATCAATTTTTTTACACTTAACTTTTCATATCTTTTTCAACATTATACCTGTGATGATCAGACCATTACAATGTGCACGGAAAGTTTCTAGCTAAAAGAAGAAGATAGAGAAACAAACAAATACATCACATTCCTTCCAAAAGCATAGCTCTATTTTCTGCATATAAACACACACCCCAATCGCTCTGATGAAGGGCTAACACTTGAAATGTCAGCTTTAAACTCTTAACCCTTTAACACCCAAGATCTGACTGTTAATTCTCTCCTCTAACTGCTACACATTTCCTTGTAAATTAGTTATGAGAATTTGGTGTTAGATCAATATGACAACTTCCTGATAAGCTTGAGTATTCTCATTACCTGTTTGCTGGATAATGTATGGATATTATTGGGAGAAGTTGCTTAAACTGATCACTGCTGGGAGTTAAAGGGTTAATGGTGGCCAGTTTACATTATCAAATACATCCATTTACAGGTTTATGTTTGGTGGGATTTTGATGTGATGGTGTGGGATGGAGACACTTTACCTAAAGTATTGCTTTTGAAATGATAATGTTTGGCAAAACATTCAAAACATCATTGTCATCAATCATATTCTCCCTGGATATTTATTGAAAAACCTGTAGTACTCTAAAGAGAGTGCTATAGATCTTTTACATTTTGAACATCTTGCAATTTGAAAAAAAGGAATGATGGCGAATAACTTAGTTTATTTTTTCCCAATTAGAACTCTCTGTTTCAATGCTGATGGTTCCTGCCTTTTGTCAGGCTCTCAAGAGTCAATTAAAGTTTGGAACAGGTAAAATGTCCAGGGATTTTTTTTTTTCTAGAAAAAAAAAATGTCATCTCAAAGAAACTTCTGTCATGGTGGAAAAGGGAAAAGTGCCTGTATAATCCATTCCTTGTTTACAAGGAAAACTTTTAACTTGGTTTTAACTTTGCCTTTGAGATGTAATCTCCTTTTTCTCAAAGCTAATTTATGATGAGATTTACAGTAATTTATTTTATCATAAACTGATTTAAGTGAATAATATTATAATACCTTTGTCAAAAAACAAACAATTTGTTTTATTTGGCAACCCCATTGTATATTTTTGATTGCAGATCATCTTGTCAACCAATAAGAACAGTATCCACAGGGTATGCACTATGCTCATTGTTTGTGCCAGGAGACAAGCACGCCATCATAGGAACCAAGGTACTGCAACTGTTTGAAAAGAAAAAAATGTATTTATTTTCTAGAAAAAAAATTTTTACAGAAAACTCTTATGCTCCAGCTGCTTGGGAATATTTATGACAGGAAAACCTAGGTGGCAAATCATATGCAAGATGGTTAAAATATGTTTAAAAAAATCACTTAGAAAACTTTTTTACTTTTTTTTTTTTTCGCAGGCAGGGAAGCTAGAGATCTATGACATATCATCTGGTCAATTACTGGAGTCTGTAGATGCTCATGATGGTCCAGTGTGGGGCTTATCTTTATCTCCTGACAAGGTTTGTAAGCAAGTAATTTGCCAGAAGTTGTCACATTATTAAAGCACAGCTATGAATTGATCTTGATTATGTAGAGATGTCAAATTTCTACTGCACACAATTAGCCTAACTAAGACCAAGAATTAATCTTGATTATTTTATAATTTATTTTGTCAGCGTGGTTTTGCATCTGGTAGTGGAGACTCTACAGTAAAGTTTTGGGAATTTGAACTTGTATCAGATGCTGAGCACTCTCAAGTCAGGTGAGGAGAACAAACTTGAAGTGTTTGTCACTATGTGCCATTGTATAGTTACAAGACTTTTTCTGTTGATTACAGACAGGAATAGATTTGTAATAGAACTTTTAATGTTTTTTATGGGGTAGCGATGTTGTTTATTCTCAAACTTTGTGAGTTGTTTTCTTTTTTTACAAAGAAGATGTTTGTTTGTTTGTTTGTGAGTGTTCTAGTCTGAAATTGACCAGACTTCTTTGTTGTTGACTTGTTAGAGGAGAAGGATTATTTTATTATCCTTGGGCTGGAATGGATGTGTACCTACATTGTGTATTTATTGAATGCAGATTTTAAGTATTGAAATTTGGAAATTTCATATAATTTATTGAAATAACTTAACCTAAACATCTCAACTAGAGTTGACACATTTTTTTACATACATTTTTCAATAAATTGATTTTAATCATTGAAAGGATATTTATTAGTAAATTAATTCCTTTTGTTGAATCAACAGCAAAAGATTGAGCATCACTCATGTGCAGACCTTGAAAATGAAGGAGGAGGTGTTATGTGTCAAATACAGGTATGTCCCTTTTGCATGAGGCTGCCAGAGTTTGTTTGGTTGTTTTTATTTTTCACCAACAGGTAACTGACCAAACTAGTGACATTTGGTCGCAAATTAACTTTTACATTCGAGTGCCAAGTTGCAATAAAAGTTTTGTTTCAATCACCATATGGAACAGTTTGGTTGCCAAAAGGTCCAATTTGTGAAATTTTCGCCTCGGCGGAGGTTAAAAAGGCGTTGTTTTTAGGGCCTCTCTTTGATTAAAACAAAGTTCATATTTCATAGTTTGCATGAAATAAAGGTATAGTACAATTGTAGTTCAGTAATAACAATGAAATGCCATGCTTTGAGGAGAGGTGGTGATAGTCATACATGTAAGTCCTGTGCATTACAAGGTATCTGAATTTTTTTCTTTTTTTTTTTTTTTTTTTTATCTAGTACATAAAGTCCTAAGTATCGAAGAGAAAGTGAGAAATATTTAAAGACAATATGGTGCAAACAATCAACACAACGCTTTTTTTATTCTTCTTCAATAGTCCTAATCAAAGATTGCTGGCTGTGAGTCTTCTAGATTGTACAGTTAAAGTGTTTTTTGCTGATACTTTAAAGGTTTGTTGTGTTGATTCTTTTTTGTAAAAGTACTACTTGCATGTTTGAAAGGCGACGAAATTAACTAATCTGTACAATTTTACGAGCAAAAATTTCAATCTCAAACAGAAATTAAAGATTATGGAGACAGAGCATGTCTTATTTCTTGTTTCTTTTGTTTTTATCGACGAACTAAGATTATGAACTCCTACTGGCATTAGATCTGTTTCTCTTTCAAAAACAAACAATTGATGGAGTCTCGATCTATCAAACATGGTGGATTGTGGAATTTAAAAAATGATGATAGAATTTTCCCTTTTTTTGTCCACAAAAATCATGTTTCATTTATAGCAGACCGTCTAGATTACATTTTAGAAAACTTCTTCCTATTTTTCCTTTTCAGTTCTTTTTATCTTTGTATGGACACAAACTCCCAGTTATGGCTTTGGACATTTCATCAGTAAGTATCCATATTCTTGCTCCTGAAACGGTTATTAGAACAGTCTTTGATTGATTATCGAAAGTCATCCGGTCTGGCATTGGTTGTGCTTTGCTTTAGACAGTGAGTGGTTTACAAAGAGCGTGTTACCTTTGATAGTAATCAGTACCCACGCCCTCGTCCAACACGACCTGGACGCGTTTGTTTTCTCGTCCTTCAGTTTGTTTATTAAGGTTAACAAATAAAAGTAATTTTCTTATCTATTTCCTCTTATGAACAGGATAGCAATTTAATCATCACAGGATCAGCCGATAAGAATATTAAGATTTGGGGGTTGGATTATGGAGATTGTCACAAGTCCATATTTGGACATGATGACAGGTTTGTTTGCTTGTTGTTGACTGCAGCGCATTTCGATTTAGTGCCGTAAACCTGAATTAAAGTAATTTCAACGGCCAATCAGAATACAGAAAAAATATCACTAGCAACCAGTGGAAACTCAAAAAGACAAAAGCGCGGGAAAACGCGAGTGAATTAGTCGCGATTGGTCGAAGTTTAAAATTTGATTGGTTGAGAAAGTGGCGCTACTTATTTTGACGAATCATAGAATGATGTAAAGTAAAAACAAAGCAATGTTAGATTTCTTTGAATGCGCAGTTGGAAATTGGGTTATTGTAAGCTTATCGTTTTTCATTCCGCCTGAATCTGAAGCGCTCTACCCTTGTGGTTAGCTTGCGGGACTCTGGATCAAAATTTTTGCGGGTCTTAACCGCGCCAGGTCTTTTAATCATGTTCTTGGGCAAGACGACGTGCACTCATAGTGTCTCTCTCCAGGGTGGGAGTATGAATGGGTACCAGCGAAGTGTGAGATAGACTTTACAGAATGCTGGGTAACTAGCGATGGTAGAAACTGTTCGGTAATGAGCTCCGCCGTTGAGTCACTAGGCTCTTTTGTAGACCGTTTTGTTCCTCTTTTTTCATAAGTCATAAGTACCTCTTGAAAAAGTCTTACTTGTCATAATGTTAGGTTTTATCGTTTACCTCAACTCACTTGTATTTTTTTCTTTTTTTCTTTTTTCCAGTATCATGGGTTTACAGGTACGTTGACAGACTTTTCCTCATCTCTAGTGATTTGCTAAGCGATAGCTCTAATTCAGTGAACATGCGTATCAACCACTGGTCGCGTTCGAAATAAAGAGCTAATACTGCGCCCTGTATTGTTACCAGTGCTTACCACGAAAGTGAGGTTTTAGTTTCTACTTCAATAAAACAAGTTTCTTTGTTTCCATCAAAAACGATTCGCTGCGTTGACAGGCGAGTTTATGATCATTTTGTAGCTTTTAATCAGTTCAGTAGGCAACTTGCAATTAAGAAAATTAGAGCAGTTTATTTACCGTGTTTGTCTTTTAATTTTTCAACAGTTCGTCCCCAAGACTCATTATTTTTTCTCAGTCAGTAAGGACAAGACTTTGAAATACTGGGACGCTGATAAGTTTGAACACATAACAACCCTTCAGGTAATGACAGTGATTTCTGGAGATCCTTTGTTCTTTGATTGGTTTAGAAAACTTGTGCTACCCTCTTAACCAAACGCGTTTAATCACGTTTTCCCGCGATGTCGGTATTTTTAGTTCTTGTCAGCTCTCTATGATGTTAATACATTTTGAATTCAGTTTTACCATTTTCAGTGGAAATTCGCCGAAGAAAGTTAACATTTTCTCTCTGTTACGTTCGTACACATGTATTACTGACGGTACGGTCGTGTTATGTGGGACGCTTAGACGGCAATTGGATTGCCTGGGAACGGCTAAAACGTGAATACATGGGAAGCAGTTGTTGAAAATGTCCTGAAAGATGTGTGTTTACTTTACCATAGGGCCATCATGCGGAAGTCTGGTGCGTGGCTGTGAGTCCAGACGGCGATTATGTGGTGAGTAACAAAATGGATTGTGTCCGATTGTCTTATTACACTTGATGAGAGTGTTATGATCCCAGTGTTCATTGCGCAGTTGTGCTCCTCCTCTAATCTGTGTAATAAAGGAGCCCTGTTGCTATCTATTTTAAGACTAATTTAGTGTTAAAAACTGAGTTGAAATAAATTGGCCACTGTAAAGAGGTGTCGTTTCTAAATCAGAAACTGTGGTGCTGCCTGTCAAGTCAACCAAAGGTGGGGGATAAACCCTCATGTTCCTTGTCGCTGATATCTAGGGAACTAGTGACAGGAATAATTTAAGGTGTTACAAGGTATAAAAGCGTGTGATAATTTTCTGTTAAAATTTCTTTGTCCTTCAGGCAACAGGTTCTCACGACAGATCCCTTCGGCTGTGGGAGAGAACGGATGAACCACTGTTTATAGAAGAGGAACGAGAACAGGTTCGGCATATTGTTGATGTTTCACAGCTTTGTTTCCTCAGCAACTGGTGTACATCAATTTACATCTATTCACTTGTTTGATCTTTTTTTCAGGAGAGAGAGAAAGAATACGAAGAAAGTCTTGTGCAGAACACTGAGAGAGTGGTACGTTTCAAGTAACTGCTCCTCAAACGTTTCGCTAACACTATGATACCTAAGAATAACAATTGTGAAGTGCGAGAGACCATCGGAAAAGAGAGGAATGACACGAAAGTTTATCTGTTTTCTTCCCTTGTGCATTCCTAGTTGCCAGCCAGCAATCTTGGTGCAAACAGGGAAAAATGTATAATTTAGTTTTTCAAGTTACGTCTGCGATGCGAACATCCCTTCTCCCAGCCTCTCCGCTCAGACTTCAAGTTTCATTGATACAAAATTTCATGCTTGATAGTTTAAATTCATCAACGAATAATGAGCAGAATTAACCTTGTAATGTTAAAATCGGGTATACTTTCCTCAGTATTCGATTGCGTTACCTTCATCAAGTTTTTTTGTCTCAGATTCCCGGAGAGGTAGATGGAGAAGCCGTCAAGGCTGGAAAAAAGACATTAGAGACTGTGAAGGCGGTGAGATATTCTACTCAAACGTTATCACTTGACTGGAGAGAATTCAGTTAAAGAGCTTTATTTGTTAAAGAAACCATCTACAGAGAAACGCATTCCAAGACAGGATAAAATCTGAACACAGTGCTTGAAAAATGACACAGGTAGTCAAATTTTTTTGAATGAAGGAAGCAAGATTTTCAAGTGAAAATCCGCCACAATGGCGAAGTCTAGCTGCTAGCTAATTTAAAAGAGGCTTCGAATGAGTTCTGGTGTTAACCATTTTACTCTTAAAAGTGACTAGCATGTAAACCCTCCTTACTGTAATACCCTGAATCAAACATGAGGGGCATGAATGAAGAAAATGATCTCCAACTTAAGAAATTCTTGATTGTGAAACAAATTCTTGTCACTTTTTTGTTGCAAAATCATCTGCCGGTTGCAGGCGCCTCTAGACTAGAAAAAAAACGTGTTAAATTTTGTTTTTTGTTCGTAGGCGGAAAGACTAATGGAGGCTATTGATCTCTATAATGAAGAAACAGCTAAAATGAAAGAACAAGGCGGTGGTCGTGAACAGGTAAACATTTTCTTTCTACGGCGTTTTACTGCTCTAGAGACAGATAGGACTCATGGTGAAAAAAAAAAGCTACAGTAACAATTTTTTAGCGATATCACTACTTTTTTTCGATTTAATTCATACATTGTTAGTCAACCGTAAAAAAAATAGTAAGAGCGATCCTTTTTTACATTTTGCAGGTGTCTACCAATCCAATTCTAATTGCGCATGGAAATATTACGGTAAGGAGCTCTATTACATGTGTTTTAAAACGTACCTTAATCTTAGATGGTCCCGATCACTTGAACATTATGTGGGATGATCGGCGCGATGGGCTCATGATTTGGATACCAGGCTTAAAACTTGAGGTAACTTGTTGTCATGCTCGTTGTTGGGGTCTCTGTGTATCTCACGAGACCCATGGGAACGAGAACCGCAAGTTTTCTGCGAAAAGTCTGTTAAGAGATTGGAACCAAAGCACATACAGCCCGAGGGACTGTACGAAGAAAAAAGACATTTTGCAAATTCCCTTCCTTCCTTGCGCGCTCTTTTTCCTCGTAGAGTTTAGTACACCTGGGTCCGAGGCATGGCTTAACCTTGTGACCCTTGAGAGTGCCTAGCATCTAATTTCTCCTTACAGTATCATCCCTGAATCACACAGTAAGGTCATGAGAATAAAGGAAATGATCAGCAACATGGAGATCTTGACTGTTAAACAAATTCTCCTTGTTAGCACGTAAGGAAATGTTTAGAGAACAGTATGGAGAATATGAAAACTGATGTTAGGTTGTAAAGGCTTAAGGAATAATGATTTGCAGTGTACAGTTTTCAAACCAGTACTCGTGAAGGACAGCATATAAAAGAGTTGCCAGTTTTCCTACTGCTGTTTATGAAGCCTCCGTTATTCTTAATTTCTCTCCAGCCTGCTCGTTATGTTCTGGAGGTCGTGAAGAAGATCCGTTCAAGGTATGTAACTATTTGTAAACCAAGCCTTGGTTACAAAGATTAAAAACTCTCTAGTACTATCTTACGGTTAAAATGTTTTTGTTCTCAGATCGGAAAAAAACTAATCGTTTTATTGGTCATCGGACACCGCTGTGTGTTCAAAGTCTGTTAAATAATCCAATTTCATGTTTCATAGTGCACTGATTGAATGAAAGCTCAATTAAACAGGAACAAAAGAGTTAAAAGACTTTTGGAAACAGGTCCAAAACTTTGGTGTAATAACACCGAGTTGGCGAGTGGTTGAAAACGGGTGGGTTTCCGAAATGTTTATCTTGTCGAAATGAGACATTTTATCATCGGTTTGTTGATTTGTTTTTGTTTGGTGGTTTTGCAGTGAATTGGAAGAGTCTCTGATAGTCCTACCGTTCAGTGTTGCCACTGATATGTTGACTTTGCTTAACCACTGGCTCCAGGTAAACAGAGTAACAGTATTTGCAATGGTTGTGATTTATTGCTTAGCAGCACCAGTGAGCGCGACCGGTGTTGAGAAAGTTCAGTGTAATTCGCGATCACTTGACCTGGAACAATGTGTCTAACGGTATTTATAGTTTCCCTAAAGTTGGGGGGAGGGGGGGGTCCCTGGTACTGTTTTTAGCTTAAATTTAATTCATTCTGTATTTCCATCAACATCAAGAAACTTTCAACCGAGTATGTATGTTGTTGTTCTTTTTCAAATCCAGCGCGGCTGGGAGGTCGAGCTTTCCTGTAGATGCCTCTCATTTCTTTTGAGGTGAGTTAATGCTTTTTCTGTCTCGTAGAGCAAAGCGCCAGGATCTAAGTCATGGCGAAAGGTTGTTGTTAGCCCATTAATCGTACTGTAAATTGGATTTGGAGATTCCGCAATCGATGGGTGGCGCTTTGTCCAATGTTTCACTGTCTTTTCTTATTTTCAATGATGTTCAAGTGATAACTGACGAACTATTCCTTTCTCAGGATTCACCATAGCCAGATCGTAACAAACAAAGTTCTTGTACCGGTGATTGATTCCCTTCGGCAGCATGCTAAATCACGAGTTCATGGTCTGAGGGTAAGTTCGTATAGGGACTGCACCCTGAATTCTCCATACGTTAAGCGAGGTTATTGTTCTGATCTCAATATACTGAGCCTCCCAAATGTTTTTTATAATATAAAGTTGCTCTGAACCGTATGTACAGAAGAACGCAGAACTATGCAAAAAAAAAAAAAAAAAAAAAAAACAGTGTTGTCTTCGAGAATGCATTCAGTAAGGAATAAAGGGGCTCAGCGCGCTCGGATTTGAGTGGTCACCACTTAAAGCTATAATCGAGGATGACGCAATAGTAACCTTTAGAGAGAAATATGGTCGGTCACAACATGTTGAGAGATGGTGACAAAACCATGTTGCGCCACCTTAAGTTTGAAATAACTGGGTCATCGTCGTCACTCGTAAAATTTCGCGAGCTTTGCGGGGTATATGTGTAATCATTTACTATTAGGTCGCTAAAACCAATTTGAGGTTATTACTGCCATACTAATTTACAGCGAGAACTCAACTCATCTGGAATGAAATTAAACATAGGTTGTGATTTCTCCTTCCCCCAAGGCCCTGAAATAAAGAACCTCATTGACCTAAACGACCTTTGTTTCAATTCCTGAGCCTTGCAGCACAACATTGAATCTCGAGGCTTATTGTAAGATACCGATTGCGAGCACTAGAGGCCAGATGGTCAAAAATTTTTTCTCACGCCCATTACGGTGCTGTAACGGCTTGCACTAACCTGACCTACATCGTGGTTCTAAAGGCAAACATTATTTTAATTGTTTTCTTATAGGACACCATTGGTTTTAACTTGGCTGGTCTGCGTTTCATTCAAAACGAAATGGAAGCCAGAGAAGAGAAGTTTTTTGCCGACGCGACAGAAAAGGTTAAGAAGATTCGGAAGAAACAGAAATCGACCTTCGTACAAGTTGTGAAATAACTGTATCATGTTGTTTAGCAAATATTAAAAGAATACTTTTGAAATGAACTGGAACACAATCATTGTTAGACAGTTTGACAGCCTAAGAACGTCATCGTCATCGCTCTGAGGAAGGGCTAACGCTCGAAACATCACCTTTTAAACTCATTTTTGTGGCTAATTTACTCTCCCTCACCGACGCAGCATAAGAATTTCTTTAGAAACTTGCCGCTTTATTCAGTTTGAAAGACTTCGTTACAAAAATTGGTTGCTTTAACGTGAAGAAGAGAGAGTCGAAAGTTACTTCAGCTGGCACTGGTTTTTCTTAACCTTACTTGGTGACTTGTCTTAAAAACTCGCGCCACCCGAAAGTTACCTCAGCTGGCACTGGTTTTTCTTAACCTTACTTGGTGACTTGTCTTAAAAACTCGCGCCACCCTCTCCAACAATCATCAACTAGTGCTAGACTAAATACAATCATGATAGAATCGCAAGCGTTTCACATGGCAGCTGAGATAACTTTTGACTCTCTGTCGGAAATTGTGCTGAGGCCTTCCCATGATGTTAATTGTATTCCACTCTGTCTTCCCAACAAATCCATTTCTGACTCTGTTTTAAGACGAGGGTCAGTGCGAAGAATCTATGAACCTTAGTGCCAATGATTGTGAGGGGAATAAAATTCAAATTTCATTCTCGATTTTTTTTTACATAAATCAAATTTACCTGAATGCACCTCCATCAATAAGATTATCTTTGTAGTCTGCCTAAAGGTTCCTATCCTGTGTTTCCTCCCCTTCAAAAGATTTTTCTCTAATACCCCCCTGCGAGATCAAGAATGGAAGAAAACGAAGGAAAACCGCCCTGATGATTTTAGCGTATGGTAAAAGCTTACGTTAAAGTAAAAGGAAGTTTATGTATATTGGCACAGTTGGAAATAGCAGGGGTTATGTTTGAAAAGAAATATATTCGAGGGGAAATGGATTTCACTTAGAAATAGCAGAGTGATAACCAAGTTTTGAATAATATTATCAGGCTCAGGGTCTACAGTCTACACGGTTCATGCTTACTTGAGTCAGTTGGATTCCAGCTGTGATAGCCTTTTTGATTCATTTTTCTTTTGTTTTTACAATTTTCCATATCTAACTCATGCATGTTAAGCGACAGTTGCATGTCGGGCATGTCCTCCTCCTCCTCCTCCTCTCGGTGCGATTTTTGTGTTGCCAATGTTGACAAAGCATATCTATGCCTCTTTGTAAGGATCTAATTTTTGTGTCAAAATGAATGTATTTTAAATGGTATGTTTAATGGACGGAAAGGAAATTTAAAATGTTCCTTGTAAGTCTCAGCACAACGGCCAACATGACTTGTCTCTGTTGATTAATCTGAGCATGGAAGTTTGATAAATGCCGTGTCTACTGAACTGTGAACTTAAAGTAAAAGAAATTTATGTATGCGTCCTCAGAGGTAAAAATGCGTGATACCTGGCATGTAACATTGTGCCACTGAACGCTCTTGATGGCTTCTTTGAAAAGTGTCCGAATCGTTGTCTTTAACGAGCGCCGGCAATCGAGGCCGTCCGCCATTACGGCATATGCTAATGTTCCACGTTTAGATGGCGTCTATCAGTTCTTTGAATGATTCATTTCCTTTATTCTTGACCGGAAACGCTCCATTGCACTCTCAGTCAGACAAACTTCCTCACCCTCCCCCCCAGCCCGGTATTTGAAAACTCTCCATACCGACAACTTATATTAATTAATGATGTATATTCCAGATGGTCGACTGGTAATCGTGGGCGCGCAACGAGTGCAAGTGAGGTCATCGAGGTCGCGGGTTCGAATCACGCTATAGGAGTTATTCTTAATCTGGCTTGGGGGCCGAATAACTTCTCCCCGAGTACGATTTGGAGCTGGCGAACAAGGAGTAACTCTCAAACTGGCTTGGGGGCCGAGTAACTCCTCCCCGTGGAATTTGCGTTTTGTTTTTGCTGTCTTTTCTATTTTTTATCATCATTCTTGTCTTTCTTTTTTTACCTTTTTTTTCTGAGCAATTATGTTTTTGGGCCACTGTGGTATTTTTTCTAAAAGTATTTTTTTCTGTTGCTTTTTTTTTTCTTTTTTTTCTCGCTACTACATATATTTTTCTCTCTTTTTTATGTTATTATTACAATTATCGTTTTTTACTGTCTTTTTACAATTTTTCTTATCTGGCTTATGCATGTTGAGTAACAGTTACACGGCAAATTATTCCAAGGTAGTTCCAAATCCTAGCCCATAAGTAACTTTATCATAGATAGGTTCATGTTTTTCCAAGACATTTGTAATTTGTACTCGTGCTTGAACTTTGCAGTCGTATTACATGAAAAATGCGCTCGTTTTTAGCCAATCACGCGTGTATAATTTTTTCATGTTTATCATGAAGTCATTTAAAGAGGATAAAATCAACTTCGCGTAGGGTAAATCCGCACCAAAACGCACCAATAGCAGCTAACCATCATGCCACAGAAATAATCACTTGGCCACATCGCTTGGCGAAGACTAGCAAATAGCAGTCGAAATTTGGCGATCTGAGCAAGATTGATGGTGACTCAAGAGCGTGAGACAAACGATTCAAATTTCATTTATTGCATCATAAATACGATGAACAAACACATCTATAACAATAAGTTCCTCTTCAATAGTACAAATAGTTCAAAGAGTTGTTTTGTTTGTTTGTTTGTTTCCTAGAGCTAGAAAACAGGGAAACTCGAAGAAACTCAAACAGTTCCTCGAATAATGCCTTTTGAAGAATTTTTACTTTTTTTATTAATTTTTTCAGGGCTTCAATATATCTGAATTCGAGTTTGTATTTCAACAATTTCACCAATATCCACAACTCCCCAAAGATATTTACGCAGTTCAAAATCAACCATTCGCTGGCCTTCCCATTTCGTTATATTATTGTGCGACAGTAACCGAAGTACTATTCGACGTTTTTCGGTTCGCCTTTCAAAATCGGAAAACTCATTTGAATTACAAATAATTTTTAAAATGTTAATATTTATATCTGTGATCAGTCTTACACGTGGAAAGAGCGAAGGAAGTTCGAGAAATTTCAGAGTCTCTTGCTACTCCTCTGGAGGCCACAAAGCACATCACTTTCACCTTATAACCCTAGATATCCTTTGTCTTTCAAGTCCAGCGTGCGTTTCTTCGAAGTTGCTGAGTAAGGTGGCTCAAATTTGACGTCAAGGTTTGATGAATGTCATTTTGTCACAAGTTTTCTGAAGGTAAATTACCTACGTAGGAATACATATTTGATACAAATACAGTGCCCGTGTCTCTCGTCTTTCCCTTGAAAATCAGGTCAAATTGCAGAGTTTAATACCAAAAGTAAAAGCATGCCATGCACAGCACAAAGTAAGACAAACCTTCAACCGCAGCCGCCATGACAGTTCTCGTTGCACCACGTGATTTACTAGTAACAGTGATATATTCTTATTTTATGGTTAATTTGTTGGTAGCTTACGAGGTAATTTAATGCTTATGATTTCTACACTTTTGTTTTTTTTCCTCTTATACATACAGTCACTTAAGCTCACGGTATGTCAAAATAACATTTGATGTAAACGCGCTTGTTGTTTCTCTAACACCCAACCACCGATGGACAGCAAAATGGGTGATCGTCAAAAACGTTTTGACACAAAATCGTTTAGGAAACCAGCCAAAATTTTTTGAAAATGAGGATATGAATGGCAAAGCTTTCTATTTTATCTCAAGTTTAGTAGAACATTAGTTATCTAGCACGTACTCGAAGTCGGATTTAGGGGTCTGGGTTCAAACTAAAGAGGACGTTAAATCGTGAAAGAGGGGGAGGGTTGGGGATGTAGCTGTGACGGTTGACGGTAAATTTTTTTCGATTTCGACGGCGAAATCTCAAGGCCCTTGACTGTTGTCAACTGTTTGAAAAATATATTTCTATGAGTTGAAGGTAATGTCAAGTTTATTTGTTTTTTTTTACATGAATGATGAATGACGTTTAGATGTATTCAGGTTTATATCTGTTTATACTAAAGTGAAGCCATAATGAATCAATTGCGAGTAATCGTATCCTCATGTTTGCACATAGCTTTTTTGAATCGACAAAAATTGTTAATCGCTGGAAGGAAAATATATAGCGAAAGGATGACGTCTAAAAAGAAAACGATTTTGGAGAGGGATCAACGCTTCTTCGTTGCCGCTTTTTTTCAGAAATGGATTAAAACAATGTTGATACGAAGTGCAATTTTTGTGTGAATCACCTTTAAAATATGTAATAGAATCTACCGATAAACTTCTCTCTTTGCATTTGATTGTTACGTTAGTTTCTCGCGCTTTTTAAGATTGTCTTGAATTCGATTGTTACGTTAGTATCTGGCAAGTTTCAAGGCTTCTCTTTCATTCAATTGTTAAGTGAGTATCTGGCACACGGTTAGGATTGTCCCACACTACGATTGTTACGTTAATATTTCGCACATTTTATGCTTCTCTTTCATTTCACTGTTACTTAAATATCTCACACTCTTTTAGGGTTATCTTTCAATCAATTGTTATGTTGGAATCTGGTGCATTTTATGCTTTTCTTTCAATTTATTGTTACGTTGGTATCATGTGCATTTTAAGGATTATATGACATTCTATAGTCACGTGAGTATCTTGCGCATATTAAGGATTACCTTACATTAGACTTTTACGAGAGCATCTCGCGCATCTTTAGATTCTCTTTCATCGATTTTTATGTTAGCATACACTTTAAGGATTATCTTGCATTCGATTGTTACGATAATATCTCGCGCTCTATTTAAATAACCTCACATTCGATTGTTCTCTTTCATCGCATTTCAACGTTAGTATCTCGCGCACTTTCAGGATTCCTACTTATTGGATTGTTACGTCAGTATCTTGCGCGCATTTCTCTTACATTGGATTGTTACGATGGCATCTTGCGCAGCTCTAGGATTCTCTTCATCTGATTTTTACGTAAGATCTCGCGCACTTTCAGGA